GATGAGATGGTGTGAGATATGATAAAGAATGAAGAGGCCCTACTGACACAGGCCTGACTTAAAACATAGAAATCTGTCTGTCTACAACATGACTGGAGAAAACTTGAGAATTAAGACCATAACTAAACTACAGTGTCTTATTAGAAATTTGATTCCTACTTTTATCGGATAACCTCATAGAAATTAAGACACAGTATTTCAGGAGTGGAGGCCCATTCATCCCCATTGTTAAGACATAACCTTTGCAACAAAATACATCCATCCATTCACAAATTCAGGTCCACTTCTAGGTATGATTGTGTAGTACCTTGCCAGTTTAAAAGGAAATAAAGGAAGCCAAATGCTTATTCCTAGGAATATTTTCTATGAATACAGAAATAGAATAGGTTTCTATGAAAAAAATAAATGTGCATTATATTCAGTTTGCCAATGATCTAGCCTGAATGCTTTTTCTAAGTAACAATTTCCTAAATATGCCACTGCAGCAAAAGAGCTAGAACAGCCAGGTCCCAATTTTCCATTTCTCAGAAAGGCTGTGTATGTGTGTGTGCAACTGCTCACACAAAACCCACGCCAGTACAGATGATAGCTCTGATTTATAAATTTGTTCTTCTAAAACAGAGCCAACTAACATAGTCCTTCCCTCATCACTACATAGCGTCTGTGGCCTAACTATAGCTCAACCATCTGATCAGTTAGAGCACTTCCTGGAGAAGTTAGTAATTGACTATTGGAGTAAAAGCAGTTTAATGGTTTATCTTCAGTAAGAGAGCAACCTGGAAACAAAACTTTCCAGCTTTCCAGAGACATGAAGTCCCAGAGGTCTGGAACTCAGCATTAGTCCCTCCATAGTATCTCCACAGGTAACGGGGAGAACAACCTTCCTGTTGAGCCAATACAGACTGAGCGTCTCCCCCTTTTGCTATCTACAAGCTGCTGAGGCAAGCAAGGGCCTTGGCAGTTATTAATAACCCTATCTCCAGACATGCTGGAGAAGTGTGTAGTCATGCTTCTGAGCTGTCCTTAAGCAATTCCCATCTCCCTTTAGAAAGCTGTAATCTGTCAGAACATGCTGCTAAGAATACACTTGCAGAACATTATGCGTCAGGGAGGGAGTAGACCTCATCTACTATCTCCTAAAAATCTTTTTATAGAAACCACCTAAAAATAGCCTGGAAGCCTAACAGGGTATGTGGTTCAGTTTTTAAAAAGTAAAAATAAAGTTCTGTGCCTTCTATTGCAACTTTCCAGGACTAGGATTTAAGTTACAAGATTTGCCATTATGGGGATGTTCTAAAAGTACACATTTCCAGAATAAAATCCTTACAGAAAAATATACATGATTGAAAACAAGCAGTACAGACTGTAGCTTCAAATTAAAGATTTGTTGATCTTTACAATCTCATTAATGAATTAGCTTCTTAGCGGTTAACAACTCAATGCCACCAGCCTATAAAATCCCACCATTAGGAGACTTGTTAGTGACATTCACCAGGAAATTAGAAACTCTACTTTTTCAAACTTCTGTCTGAGGAGAGCACACATATCTGCAAGTGTGTGTCTGTATGCAGTCCTCAGGAAGTACATATGGCACTGAAGAGTAAAAAATTGTCTTTATTAAAGCAAAACAGTTATTAAAGGAAACAGTAAGGTCGGAGCACCACACAAGTCTTATATTGTAATCATGACTAATATACTCAAGCATATCAAGTTTAGTGTTTTTTTAATTGGGTGACAATTTCTAAGGGACTAGGGAGGTTTTTAATTTTTTTAAGAGTTGCAGGTCCATATAAAGAAGGTGAAAAAAAAAGTGTCTTACACTGAAGAAATAAATAGGTGAAATTTATAGTTGTCTCCAGCTGTGAAAGGAGTTAATTTCAAGTTTTCCTCTACACACCAAAGAATTTTTGTCTCCTGCATGGGTGAACAATACCCTTTTGAGAAAGCAGCTAAGAATCAGAGTTGTCAACCACAGTCATCATCATCATCCCTGACTTTAGGCAATCTTTTAAAGAAGCTATGACAATTAATTCATCTTCTAGAAAAGTCAGAGAAGATTTAATTTCACTTAGTATTTCCTAGGAAGGAAATCAAGGCCTAATGTGCTTGTCAGAGGTTCACACACACACACAAGTAACACACATTGCATTTGCATACAGGTGTGTCACACTGCAGCCGACCAGGAGTAAGAATCCTGAGCAGTTCTCACATTGTCACAAACTCCTCCTGTTAAGACAGACTTTGACATAACTGTTTACCCCCACTATGCATATGGACAAGATTTTCCTGAAGCTCAGTCTTTAAATAAAGATTCATTCCTTTCTTTGAATTTCCAGAGTGTACTTGTTTTGGACAGTTTATTACCATTTTATTTTTTAAGCACTGTCCTTGGGTTTAAAAATCCTCCAAGTGTTTTATTTGTCCATTTGAACCACTGTCTTGCTTGAATTGTATAGGATGCTGTCCTCATCCTAGTACAAGGATTTCCTTGTGGGAATCACGAGCTGGTACACAGCAGAAAATACACAGAACTGTATTGCTTCTGTTTGGTGCATGAACTCAGATCCAATGCCTCTGTATCTGAACACAGAAACTTGCTGGAATGAAAAAGTGAGTTTATCTCCACCAATCTGGAGGAGTTTTGTAGTGAAGCTATGATTTCTCACCTTGGTTGCATCTGTCTAAGGAGTATGTAAAATATTTTGGCCCATCTCTGTCCCCTTTTTCTATGGTGTAATGAATCTAATATTGCAGGGAATCCCAAAATGGATGAATTCCATCTTCCTATGTATAGAAAAATATTCAAGAAGAAATCTTTGTCAATGCTACTGGGAGTGGTCAGCTCTTGACTACTGATTTCTGGCTATACTTCTGCTATACTGCTGGAAGTTATCAGTGTAACTACAACTCTGCAACTACAGACCAAAGTTAAACATTGCTGAAATTGTGGGGTTTTCACTGATGACAGCACAAAACTGCAGTACCACAATCAATGACCAGAAAACATGCAATCATTGGAAGATATCTGGAAGAGGTTGCAACCTTTCAAGAGACACTCCAAGAGTCTCCAGAAGGGTAATGCTGTGGCAGGAATGGAGACACAGTCTGCTGATGTGACTTAGAGGCTTCATAGATGTGTAAATGCCTAAAGTGCTGGAGCCATTACAGATACTAGAGCAGCAGGTCAGACAATTGATTTTTGTCTTCTTGTCTTTTATCAATGTTGTGTAAATATAACCTTGTCTTTGAAACACTTTGCGACTCAGTCTATGAAATAAGTACAGCAAGTAGCCCCAGAGCAGCAGTTTGCCTGGGACATTCAGGTGAGTTTTCTGTATGCCTTGAATATTGGAAACATGCAATTTCATCTCCATGAAATCCACAGGCCTTCCCTGTGGAAGAGCATTACAAGTACTGTGAAGATCTGGCTGACTGAACAGAGGAAGCTACTGCAGCCAACTGTGTAATTTAACCTGGAAAGCAAGCAGGCTATGCTTGCAAGCTTGTGAAATAACCAATAATGTTAGAAATGTTCCTCTGAATTATGGGATTAGAGGGGATTATTTTGCAGCTAATATAAGACTGTGGCACATTGGCACGCTCCCAGGACCGGCAGGTGCACTGCTGCCTGTTGCTGGGGAGTTGTGCCCTCTCCCTCAGCTGAACAGCTGCTGCCAATGACGAGGTTGCCCCAGTGCCTTCACTGTGGGTTTGAGGTCCCAAAAGCCTCCCAGCACAGGGACCAGGGGAGCGAGCAGTGAGTGTTTGACCAAGGGTCCCTATGAGGAGTGGCTGAGGGAGCTGGGGGTGTTTAGCCTGGAGGAGGCTCAGGGGAACCTCGTCATTCTCTACAATTTACCTGAAAAGAGGTTGTAATGAGGTGGGGGTTGGACAACCTATGACAGTGTTGTCCACAGTGGCTAATTATTGACTTGTTGCACACCAGGGAATGAATCAGGGTTTTTGTGGACAGCAGCACAAGAGGAAGCAGCCTCAAGGGAGGGGAGGGTCAGGTTGGACATCATGAGAAATTCCTCCACAGGAACAAGGGTTAAACATTGGAACAGGCTCCCCAGGGAGATGGTGGACTGACCATCACTGGAGGTATTCAAGAAATGACAGGACATGGCACTTACTGCCGTGGCTTAGGAGTCAATGTGTAGATGGCTCAAAGATTGGACTGGACGACCTCAGAAGTCTTTTCCAACCGAACTGATTCGGTGAATCTGTGTTTGTGCGTCCGCTTGCTCCCCGGCCCGGCCTACCCTTCCAACCACCACATTATTGCGGAGCGGCTCCGTGCCGGAGCGGCTGAGGGCGGAAGGGGAGGTGGCTGAGGGCGGTGCCGGTGCCCCTCACGGGCCGCACTGCGAGTCCCGGCGTGCCGCGCGCTGAGCCGCCGCCGGAGCCGGAACGGGCGTGCGGCGCCGCTTCCGCCGGCGGGGCTGGCGCGGGGTAAGGCCGGGAGAGGCTCTGCGCGCTTTCGGAGGGGCTGAACCCTGTGCGGAGCGCTCAGGACTGTTATAACGGGTACTCTGTTGCTTGCTTTGACGGATTAGTGACCTTTTTTTTTAAATGCTAAATATCTTCTTTAATTCTGTGCCTCAGGTTTCGTGTTCCCGCGCGTTGCTGGCACACGCGTCGGAGTTTCCTGTGCCCTGTCTCAGGGATGGGAATGTTGCCATTCAAGCTGGTCCTCGCAGTGGGTGGGGCTGGGAACGGGCTGGTGCCTGACCCCTGTCCTTGGACCGAGATCCGCCGCGTTCCTCGCACCCTTTTTGTTAATGAGCTTCTGAGGCCAAGCTGTGAGCAGCTCTGTGGGTGTTGGTGGTACCCTAACTTGAGCAGCATTGGCACAGATAAAAAGAATGCTGAATATGTCGAAATTGGAAAATGCACATTTCTGGTGATGTTTTGAAGCACAAAATACGAAGTACTTTTAAAGAGTTCTTGTTACTTTTTTTTTCTTTTTTTTTCGATCCCTAAACTTTTTTTTTTTAATATCCCTAAACTTTTACATTTTTCTAGGTTTCATTATAAGTTTCTATTTAAAGCAATTATTTTTCGCTAGACAATGAAAACATAAGATGTCTTTCTGCTACTGCGAAATTTTGGATAACATTTAAGATATTCTAAATGGTGTTTCTGGGTTTTTAGGTGTATTGCTTTTGAGATGGATGAAACCAATTAGCTGCATTTAGAGAGGTTTTTCACTACAGCAAGTGGAGTTTATAAGTACTTCTATTTTTGTACTGGGTGATGATATTTATATTGTGAACAAGAAAAGCACATTTCATGAGCTATTTTATGGAGCGTGCAGAAGGAAGGATGCAAATTTTAGGTGGGTGAGTACCAACAGAAAAGCCTGTGAGAATACACAGGCATGGGAGCTTTTCTTTTAAGCTGAACCTTCAGAGACTCTCAGTAAATAAAGTCTTGTGCTACTTTTGACTATTAAGGAGACAGGTATCATTATCTTAAGTGATAAGGACTTCTTATCACAACGATTATCAAACAATTGACAATGAAGAATTATGTTGCACAGATTTTATTTTTCCTTAAGATTTAAAAGAAATTTAATTGTTAGTCTTTTGTAGCCTGAATAGTTATGAAACTGGTTTCTTTCAGAGGGTGTTCTGCAGAGAAAAAGAGTTCTTTGAGTTCCATCTTGTCCAGGACTGGTTTCCTCTCTGCTGTCAGCATGGCAATGTCACTTAGATCTGCATGGTCCCACCTCTTCCGGATGCGTTCAGTAGCAACCTGTAAGCAGGTCCCACTGCAGAGTAAGTAATGACGTGGAATTGTGGAGGTCCTATATTAAAATTTGTTCCTTGAGAGCCTCTTCCTGTACTGTTTAAAGTAATGGAAGCATGGAAGTGATTTTTCTATTTGAACAGAATCTAGTCTATTAGTCTGTGTTCTGTTCTAATAGTAAAGGATATCTTTATTTGTTTTTTTCTCTTTTTGTGCTTTTAAAGCCTTCATGGTCCAAATAGGATGCTCCCCAAATTTATAGATTAGCTTGTAAATACTACCCCTTTTACCACTGATTATGATTGAAGATTTAAATTTATTTTTTCAGACTTAGAAAAGTGGTGAGAAAAGGCTATAGTAAATTCTCATTACCTAATATAAACAGAGAACAAATAGAAACAGACAGTACTATTTCTTAGATTTTTGTCCATATTTTAGACATCAATAGGAAGACATAGGGAAGATAGTAAAAGTGGTACAAAAGACAGTAATGGAGAAAATAGAATAGACATTTTACATTTTAGAGGTAGGTGGGCAAGGTAGGGAAAAAAAAATTAGGAAGAAATACTTATAACTTGCCAAAACTTGACTGCTTAATACCTAAGAACAGTTTCATTAGAAGAACTGAAGTGTGAAAGTGCTAACAGTAACTCTGAATTTTAAGAATTTGCATCTAAAATATTTCTGAGAGGAAAATAGCTACAAACAAAAGTTTCTTCTTGGTTTTTTCAGCCTTTGCAGTCTTGACACAATGAATGCTCTCTTGCTCTGTCAGGAGCATCCATGAAGAATCCTATTTGTGTTAAAAGGTGGTCTAAATAAAATAATGCCAGATAAAGTTGATGCCTTTTTATGACTTAAGAGAAAGCTCAGAACATGTGAAGCCTTGTTTCTTGTGATCACAGTTCTGTTCTAAAAGCATAGTTGTTGAAAAAGCTTCACTGGACACAGAAACTTCCACATGGATTTGTGTCATGTTCCGGCAATAAAGGAAGTGGGTTCTCAGTGGAAATCAGCTCCAGGCATGTCCCACGCCCACCTGAGGCATGCATACCTGCATTGTTGTGGAAAGTAATGCCTACAGGATGATTCCCATGTGAGGGGCTATTGGACACCTTATATTAGGCTTGTGTTTGGACTCTATGATCTTAAAAGTCTTCTCCAAACTAAGTTATTCTATTAAAAAAATGGGAATCAAACCATGGGGAAGGGACTTGGAGTGGTCTGTGATCCAAGCTCCTGCTCAAAGCGGGGTCAGCTCTGCAGTCACATCATGTTGCTCTGGGCTTGCGGAGTCTTTGAAATCTCCAAGGACAGAGAACTCACAAACCTGCCTGGGTCTCAATCCCCTGGTTGGCTGTCCTCATGAGGAAAACATTTCTCTACATATCCAGTCAGAGCCCCCCTCCTTTTGATCTTTATAATAAATATTCTGTGATTGAAATTATGATCTTCCCTCTAAGCTATAAGGTAATGTTCTTTACATATATAAAAGATATTGCCTAATGTTGAATTCTATAGGTATTTTGTTCATACAGTGATTTTACTCAGGAAAACAATACAGCTAGGAAGGTAAGTATAGGTTGTAGCTGCCTGCATACTGGTTTGGTTTTTTTTTTTTGTATTTATTGCACTGCTAGAAAGCTGTGTACTAAAATGAGCTTCTATTTAGACAGTGTTTGGGTTATGTTAATCTAAAACTGAATATGATTATTATCCCTGATTAAGACTTGAAACAGAATGAAAATTGAAAATGTAAATATTCTTAATTTGGTACAGCTCTGCTTGTTTCTACATCAGAGTTCTTTACTTGGGTTTTTATTGCAGATGGAGCTGTGTATCATGCTTGCCATAAATCTACATTCTCAGTTCTCCCTGAAGACTACAATTGGTATGTAAACGTGCTTTGATGTGTGGCCTTTTCATGTAATGTTTATTCCAGGGCAACTCTCTGTTGTGAAGTCATCATATTATAGTATCAAACACATCTATTGCCAATATGGGATATATGTAATGATTTTAGCTGAAGTAAAAATTAATGATAGTAATGATTGTGAAGTTAATGTAATGTAATCCAGTTTCAATATAATGAAAAGTCATTCAGGACTCATTATAAACATGTTGATGACCCCAGTTCCCCTGCAGTTTTGTTTGTGGAAGAGCAAAATTAGCTTAGAGTAGTCATTTCCACTGATGCTTGTTCAGACAAAGTCCAGGTATATTTGTGCTGCTGCATGGGAAACCTGTGTAGAAATAGGAAAAACTGATATATAAATATATATATATATATATAGTGAGAAACACTGAATTCATGTCATCCACAGTTTTAGGAATCTTAATGTGTCATGGGAAGGGGAAGAAAAGTGAGAAAAGTTATATTCTCACAATGAAACTCTCAGTAAGTCTTCTTGTTCAGCATTTTTTATGTAATAGAAAAGATGAAACCCCAAACCAAGCTTTGTTTGCTGTTACTTCATTACAGATGCCATGCATCTTGTGAAGGCATGTTGTCCTAGAGATCATTATTCTCATCTGTTTAGAGTTTTATATGCAACTATTTCAGTCTTTTAAGATTTTTTTTTCCAAATCATATTTCCAGCTATTTTAATAGTTTATTTTAGCCCTTTTTTTCTTCTCCATTGAAAAATAAAAAGGAAGATAACTGTGGAAACAAAATATTGGAGGTTTGGGTCAAATATTTATGACCCTTATTTTATAGAAGATTATTAAGGATTCATAAATGCAGGGTCAAATCCAGTTTTCTTTGGGACTTGGGCTTCTCAGTTGTTCAGTACTTCTGAAAGTTATGAGGTTTTTTTTTTATTTTTATAGCAAAGTGGAACTTGCAGTGACATCTGATTTGAAGACAATTGTCTGCTACCACCCTTCACTTGAGATTCCATATGAGCATACAAAAGTATGTCCAAGTGTGTACATTTATATTTCTTACTCTTGTAAAGGCATTTAGTAGTTTACAGGTTTGAGTCTTGAGCATCTTTTTAAATCTGAAATACTTTTTAGTATGTGATCAGCACATCTGTGAAGTAAATGACTGATGAATATAGCTGCTGCCACAAGGAGGAATTTACTCTTAGTTGAATTGAGGGAAGGTTGCAGAGTGAGAAGAGCTCAGATATCACAGCATACAGTAGCTCTAGTAGAATTGAACAAGGCACTAGAACACTTGTGTACTACAGAGAAAGTAGTGTCTGTCTACATGGGTACTACGCAGAGAGGATGATGGGAACACAGGTTATGGTTCACATGTCCTACTGGGCAAGAGAATACAAAGAACTGCTGCTACTATTTTCAACACAAACTTTAAATTCCATTCAGCATTGAGTTTGCAAAAGCCGCAAAGAACTTTAAATACTGATTTTTATCTATCAGTAGTACTTTCAATGTGTTCTTCACATTGACGAAAGTATATCTAGTGCTGTGGATTAACACCTAGATAAATCTTTTTAGTGTACACTTTTTGTTTGAATTTCCAGTTCTCATGTGCTAGTAAAATACTGCAGCTGGCAGCTGTGTTGCTGCAGTACCCAGTGTGAAATTTCTCCATTGAAACCTAAATCATTTTAGCACTTTTTGCCTGCAGATTACCTAGCAGTATTTTCAAATCTCTGTTACACATACCTCAAGAAAAACTTGTGTAAAAGGCTAAAACAAATTAAAATATTTCTAATAGTAGTTACGTTTCCAATTGAAAACAAACAACTTGGTTTTACCTGTTGCATGAAAAATTAGGAAGTGATATTCTTCTCAAAGGTACATGTCCTCTAAAAGATTTTTAGCAATGATGATGGTTGCTATGAATTCTGACTGGGAATAGTGTGGATACTTTTGTCTTAGTAGAATTGAAGCTGATGATTCAGGTAGTGAATTGTAGGATTGAGATCTGCAGTAATGACTACAAGAATGCTGGTTTTAGGGGTAGGGTCATCAGCTGTAGCCCCTAGGGTAAGTAGATACGTATAGACATCTGCTCCACGCTGCTGTGGTTTCATTCAGGGTGGGAAGACAGGGATAATAAAGAGTCAGTGCAGTTGCAGGTATTTTTCTACATTTTTTTGGTTTCAGCTGTTAGATAGCATTACAGATTACTCTAATGTAGCTTGTCTTTTTGACTTTCTCAATTAAATAAAACAAGCAGAAACAGGATATACATTACTGTTTTGCTAGCCCATACCACGGCCAGATCCGGTGAATAATAAAGAAGAAAACCTCGATCAAGTTTTAAAATCCAGATTGAATGAAAAAGAGCTAAAGAACAGTAGAGGTCCTACAATTGAAGAGCTCAGCAAAATGTTTTACACAACAAAACATCGCTGGTATCCTGTGGGACAGTAAGTATTTTCTTTTTGATTTGTTTGTTCCTTTTGGAAGTAAAGGGACATACAGGAATAATTTAATTACCAGATTCAGCCTAGGATGAGTAATGTCAGACAAGGTACCTCTAGCATTTGGGCTACTTCATAAAATTTTCAATGCAGTGTTGGGTAAATGGAAGACTGTATTTTATAAGGAGGTTTTTTAAACACTGCTCCTTTGGTAGCCTTTGCCACTTTTTTTGGTAAAATATGTAATAGTGTAGAAATTTTTCATTCATCCAGTTAGCTACTGCTTCGAGTCATTTACTAAAGTTCCATGACAGAATCTAGCATGTAAAGTACTCTCAATGGACATAAGCAAATACAGCTTGGAAGCATGCATTGCCTATTCCTTAGTAACCTCAATGGGATGATTCTCAGACTTGAGAGTAGTAGAGGTTTTTCATTTGGAATGGTGAAAAGTGCTCTTTGTTGTGCCTCGTATTCAGAAATTGAGGAGGAGGAAAGATGTATATATACATGACTGAGCTTAAAGAGGAACTCTGGACATTCAGGTATACTAATGTAAACAAGCAGCATTCTGGTGGGTGTTACTCCTTTCCACTCCACAGTATGCCATCTTTCAATAGCTGCTAATTTTATAGCTATGGAGACATAACACAGGCAAATTTTTTTGTTGTTGTCCACAGAAAACTAATTAATTTGCTTTGGGAGTAGATATAAGGAATGGAAAGGTAGGACTTTTATGACCAAAGGGTAGCTGTCACTTTAATGAAGATCAGACAGGATCTGCCTTGTTTAACAAACATAAATAAGAGGAAAGTGTGGATCATTTTTTGTTCTGAAGAATTTGTTTTTTAGTTTTTCAGCAAAATATTACGCTATTTAACATAAAGTCTGGCACAGCTCCTTTCAATATCTTTGTTCTATAGCAATCATTTTAGCCAAAGGGAAGGCTGACCATGTAATAAAATTAACTTCACACAAAGGATTAAGAATAAACAGCAGCCTTTGTGCCTATTCAGCTGTAGAACTGATGGGATTATTGCGTGCTTGTAGCAGATGTAGCAATAGAAATGAGTAGCATTATGTAACTCCACAAACAACAGAGTGACATCTAAAGAGTGGTGATGGATTGTGCTCATGTATCTCGTATTTCACTTCCTTGTGTAACCTCAGGTCACTCACTGGGGGCAGAAATACCACAAAAATAAAGGCTGTCCACAGCTTGCATTCATTGCAACCTTTTTTTTTTTCTTTTAGGTATCATAGAAGACGCAAGAATCCTAATCCTCCTAAAGACCGATAGCAAAAATAACTTCTTGTTCATCAGGACTTTGCTGTTAATTTTGATTGGAAATAAAAGTTATAGAAAGTGTCACATTTGGCTGTAACAGAACATGCTTAATTTGATTTCAGTGTTATTTTCTACTAAAAACAACAAAAGGCCACTGACAAAACAGGAAGTCAGTGGAAGCAGTTGTGCATTCCTGGTCACCAAATGGACTAGTCTTAGAACAGGATGTAAGAGGGCTGGAGTGCTCTGATTAAATTCAAGAGGTCAGAGGCTCATCATTGGTCAAGTGAATCCATACAAGTCTTGTGTCAAAATGGGAAGTCTAGAAATGGACATGTTAGGGTTTGATGGTTTTGAGTAGGATAGTATTTTTTTTTTTCTTCAAGGAATCTAGTAACTGCAGGTGAGCTTATATACTGAAGTATTAATGAAATAGTATTTATGAAAAATATGAGGTATTTGTGAAAACAAAGTTTTCCTTCTGTTACACTTGCAAGATACCTGGTTCCATGTTTAATTCTACATCAGCCAAGTGATTGTATTTAAGCCTATTGTTGTGTATGGAAAACTGGCCAATTTGGTTAGTTTTTAGCATCCAAGATACAGCAACTTGCCCTTCCTAAATCATCCATCCATTTGATATTCTCAAATATCAGAACTGTACGCTTTTGTGGTTCATGGGGGGATTTTTTGTTTGTTTAATCCCACCCTACCTACCACCCAGTGAGGATGCTGTGTTCATAAGTTGGAATAGCTGTATCACAGCAGAAGTTGTTTATATCAGCGAGGTAATCACCACTCTTTATAGAGTACCAAGGAGGAAGGATTGACCCTTTATTACATAAAATGCTTTAAACTAAAAAACTTGGTCTGATTCTACTTCATTGCTTTAGCAGTTTGTAGTGCATAAATGTTACTTCCTGTTGTAATATTTTGTCATGTGGCATTTTTTTCCTTCAGGAAAAGGAAAAAAACCTTTGTTCCAGTCTACAGTTTTAGGCATCAGCCCTCTGATAGAAAGGGCTAGCTCAGAACATTGTGCCACTGCAGAGATCCCAGTGGCTTCATAAAGCCTTCTTAGTAGATCCTTCTAAATAATCAGAAAATAATCTCATATACATCATATTTTTTTATTGCATTTCTGTTCTAAAGCAATTTGGATAACCTAGGAAGGGGTTTGTTTCTTCTGATAGTCTAGTGTCATTTTGCCAGTGTGTGTTTTTCTACAGATTTTGCTAGAAGTTGAGTACCACTCATCTTCTCAGTTGAGAAGCTGAGAAACTGTTAGTTTCTAAAGATACTATTGAACAACCTTTTTTCCCTTGAACATCCTTTATTTGTGTAAAAAGCAAGATTGGATGTGTGTAAAAAAACTGCCTTTAAATACCTGTGGAAATTTTTACACAAAACAAGTGTCAGTGCATTTTTAACTGAATGCTGGGTAGCTGATAATGGTTTTTCATGGCAGAGCATGAAATCATTTTGCTCCTTTGCTCTGTTGTGCTTATAAGATATCAGAGTCCATGCTCAAGCCAACATTAGCCAAATTACTGTGGCTCCCTATTAATAGTATGTTGCTCACATAATAAATCTGCTGTTGTGAAGTCATGTCTGTGGGGTCTCTGTGAAGGATGGCTGCTTAACTCTGTAAGTTCAATCACATGAACGTAAGCATGGCTTTTTCTGCCAGAAACAGTATTTTTTTAATAGATTGTAGTAATTTGTAGTACAACAAATTTTGGTACGTCCATCAGTTTGTGGTCCCTGGTAAGGACTCGTGTATAAGTGAGCTTACATCTCATGTAGTTTTTTATTCTTTTCCAATGCATAAAATTGAGTCCCTTTTATTTTTGGAATGCTGAGACCTAATTTGTCACCATTTGACTTCAGTGTAAGAAGAGATATCCTTGGACTAATTTAAACTTATTTTCTCCCAATGTTTTCCCCATATTTTTGCTTACTGCTCCTGCCTAATGCTGCTAAGAAATCATGCTTTACAGACAAACCTTCAGTTACGACATTTGTCTGTTCTTGCCTGTCAAACTCTGTTTGTGATCAAGCATCCACAATCACTGTAGAAATAACAATGTTTCCCAAACACTTTTGGATGCTTTTCAGGCATTTTGAGAGCTAAAAATCTATGATGTGCTTGGTTGCTATCTTTAAAGTACTTTCTCTTCTGACCAGTGGCTGGAAACTGTCTAGAACACATGTTCACTACATGTACCCTATGCCCTTTTGTTATTAGTTCATAGCATTGATGTTTTAAAACAATCTTTCCCTGCATTGTGTTGCTGTTTTCAATCTTACTGTGTTTTCTTTTACTGAATCTTTTTCCTAGGTTACATTTTCCTAGGTAATGACACAATTAAAATACTACTCTCACCGTAATCTGAAGCTCTCTTCCTGGTTTCTTAGGTCTCAAACAACTGTCTTTGTTTCTCTTCACTTGAAAGCTTGGAATTCAGATTTCATCCACTTGATTATTGTTCCATGTCTATTAAAAAAAAAAATAAAAAAAAAATAGAAAGTTAGTTTGCGATTTCTGTTTTCTGTTGCCCTTGCTCTTTGTAATTGAAAACTTAAGTTGCGTAAAATTTGCAATGTTAAGTCTGTTCTGCCACTTTGTTTCCAAGTTTGGGCACTTAGCCATTTGCTTTGTATCTAGTAGCTATTGAGTGTTCCAGAGCGTTTTAGGCTCGTTGCTGTGGATAGTAGACAGTTGGGTACATCTGACTGAGGGATTTTTGTTCCTTAAATGTGTCTCTAAAAGTCTCCTCAGGCCTTGATTGTCCTTCATGCTGTGGGAAAACTCTGTTTCGGTCACGTATCAAAAATGTTGCTTTAATTCACAGAAACACAGAATTGTTAGGTTTGGAAGGGCCCTCCGGAGAGCACATCATCCAGTGCTTCTGCTAAGGCAGGGTCACCTGCAGCAGGTGACACGAGCACACAGCCAGGTGCGTTTGGAATAGCTACGGAGGAGAAAACTCCACAACCTCCTTGGGCAGCCTGTTCCAGTGCTCCCGAACAGGAATCCGGGCCATTTCAACCGCAGTTCAATTAATCTTGGTGCCTTAGTGAAAAGAATCCTTCTCCCTCCTCTGATGACGCCCAGGTTAAAAGGACTGGGGTGCTTTTAGGAGGGGTGTTTCCCTTGGGCGTGTGCTGCCGGAGGTGCTGCGCGGCACCGCCGGGAGGCAGCAGCAGCAGCGCGTAGTGACACTCGGCACCGCTGCGGGGAAAGGAGCTCCCCAGCTGGGAGTCAAAGGGTTTCTGCCTGTTTGCTTTAACTTTTGTAGGGTGTCTCAGAGACAAAAAGAAGCTCCACCATCCCAGTCTGGGGAAAAAAAAGAGTGGCGAGTGAGGCAGTAAGGGGACCCATGTGACAAGTGTAATGAGTTTGTTTCACTTCCCCATGACTACAGTGGAGGAAGCAGTTACCCCCCTGCCCATCCGCCCACCCATCCTTCCTTCCCTCCCTCCCCACCCCTCCAGCTGTTAAGTTCTATAGGAAACACATCTCTTGCTGCTGTTGAAATAGGTCTGAACTTCGCCTGTCATGTCCAAATTCTGCTGTACCACAATAAATCGTTGTGGTGGGTCATTATAAGTCACAGTACTGACTGCCTGTTAAAGCCAGCACTGCGTGTCTCAGTTACTCCAGTCTCTATGAATTTTAGCAGCTTCTCTGCTGTAATTTCTCACATGCTCATTCCATCCTCAAAGTCAATACAAAGTTATAAAATGGAGAGATCGAACAGATGTAGACTGCATTCCTCATCTGTAATAGATGTATCATTTATTTTAATGCTACAATATAACAAAATTGACCTAGAGCAAACCCACTAGTCACCATTATAAAGCAATAAATTGTGTACCTACAATACATAAAAATTGAGGTTATCTCCAAGATTGAGACAGATACTAATTAGACATCTAAACCTGAGTTAATCTTCACAGGCTCCCCTTATGGTCAGTCGGCACAGGAAAAGCATGTGCACTAGGCAGTTGATCTTATTTTAATATTTTATTGTCTAGAATATGTCATATAATTGTTCTCTGGAGATGCATTTTCCTTCTCTGTGAAGGAAGGATGAAGATGAGATTCAGATATCTATATTGGGTATTGGGGCTTTCTCTCTGTCTTTTTTTTTTTTTTTTTTAGGAGCACATCTATGCAAAATACGCTTAAAATTCAGATAAAAATATTTTTGGTGTTTCTGCTAGCCTTCAATAGTATGTAGTCTGTATATAAGAGCTCTTGGTTTTCTATGTAGAGTAATTCACACATTTAAATTTGTAAATGTACACTGTGTATGAGATTTTAATCTCTCTTGTATTTAATCAACCCTCTAATGCTAAAAATAATAAGCTGTTTGGAGAAATAAGTTATTTATGTATCTTTCTGGCATCTCTTATAAAAGGAGCCTATGATTTCAACTATTATCTTTAGGTACTTCTGCAAAAACAAACATGATAAATTATGATTTACTGGGAATTTTGCATGGAATTATCTGAAACATTAAATACAATTGCTACAGAATGTTAGTTCCACTGTGTAGAACTACAGCTTTTGGAACACGGCAGATCAGACAGTGAGAAGTATGTGGAAGCTGCGTGAACTAAACAGCATGTTTGGTCAGCAATTTTGCATCTCATGGCTTCTGGAGAAATAGAAGTTTGTGGCCTAACATACCACTTTATTAAGGGTCATAATGTAGGTGAGAAGTGATAATCAATGTATCACGAAGTTTTTCGTTGTGTAGAGATAATACAAGATGTTGGCACAGCCAATAGAACTAAGAAGTTTTGCCAACTGGTCTATGAAACATAAATACAGAAAGAAGTTGTGCTTATATTCAACTTTACTGCTTGTCAAGATGAAAAACAGTGTCAGGTCAGAGACAGTTTACCTTTTTGAGTAAGACCAGTTTTGACTGCTACCAAAGTTTAATTCCTTGGCAAAAGGATCTCCCTACCAGCAAAATGTGAGATGATTAAAAAAATAAATCTGCAAGAACTGTTTTTAAGCATCTCTTCTGCTAAAACTAATAAAATGTTGACCATGAAAGTTACAAAGAAAAATTAAATGAACAGCGAACAGTTATTGCACTATGCCATTACCATGTTGAATAAAATTTAACCCAAGTAAAAGATTAAACTATTGAAGCATGACCCTCCTGTACAAACATGTATTTCCTACTCCCTAATGGTAACAAAACAGAGCTTAATAGTTTCATGCAAAGATTAGTGTTTCTTAAACACTCCTAGTCATTAGCACCAAGTTTTTCAAACACTGCTGAAGTTTCTTGTTTTAAACACTGCTAGTTTCTCATTCAAATGTGCTTGATTTGTTTAAACAAATAATATGCTAAGTACTGTTTTTCTGAAGTCGGTGTCTGTAGGAGTTACACTGCATCAGAGCTGTGCTGCAGCAGTGGTCTTCACCTTTGTTTTAGTTTAGACAAACTGATAATTTCTATTGAATAATAAACAAATGCTAGGAAAAAGATTTCCTTGACCCTTAATTAGTTAACATTTGTTTGGTTGGTATAAGCAGCATAAGGCTTCATATCCTTTTCAAAATTTATTTTGTAATTTTTAATACTGACTGGTTTCAGTATGGGTCCATTTGTTATTTTCCAAGAATAGATGTTTACAGAATTCCCTTTCCCCCAAGCCATTTTTTTCTACAGTTAAAATCCTGGCATTAGTGATGGAGTGGTAGCAAGTTCCACAAAATTTAGAACTAGATTAAGAAAAAAGGATTTCCTGTCCAGAGTAGAAACACAGAGCAAATAAAATTCATGGGAAATTCATCATAAGCAGAGGTAAGGAAAATGGAGAAAATCCCTTTCTAGAGCATATATTTGTATTAAAATACTGAAAGAAACACGCAGTGTGTTTGCTACATGGGGTTACAATTCACTGACTTTATATGGCCATATTTGTTGGAGAAAGATTTGAAGTGAGCCCAAAGAGGCCACTGGTAAGGCTGAAAGGTGACACAATGGCCTGTGAAGAGAAGAGCAGCAGTGGTTAGTACCTTCATAGTGCCGAGCCGTGCCTTGTCCAGTCCAGGGACAATGAGTTGTTACAACTAGGTGAGTGTTTTGTTTCAATACAACCAAGATTTTCACTCATGACTTTGTGGAAATTATGCAGGAAAAGCCTTGTATTTCTTTAACAGTGCTGCATTTATTCTGCAGTGGAAATACGTGTGTAACTGTGTCAGGTGAAACCAGGACCCTGGGCTTTACCACCCCCGAGGTGGCACAGGCAGCAGAGAGATGTTCAGGATCCCTCAGGGCACGTGGTTACCGTGGCAGGCTGGCGGCAAGCTCAGCGCCCGCTGCTGCTCCCACACCTCCATTGCCTCCCCCTGTTCCACAAGCCCTCCTGAAAGCAGTGGCTTCCCCCTGCTGCAGGGGCAGCCCAAGCAGCACTCCCAAGGTCACATCTCACTTGACTACACGAGATGTGTTCTTTTAAACCACCCAAGCTGGCTGCGCCCTCCAGCCTTACCGCATCCCAGAACGTACAACACGTACCCTCGCTTTGATGCTAGGAAAGCACCCTTCTCACAGGCTGCAGGACAGCTTCCCATCGTTTCACGAACTTCAAACTGAAAGATAACACAGAAAAATAAGAATTGCACACTGGGTCTAGAGGGGCACCAGAAAGAGTCCAAGGACTGTGGAATGTGAATATGGGAATTTGCTCTCAAGGGTACTAGCCCAGCTAGTGAATATAAGCCATATATATTCCTCTTATGTTCCCAGTATAAGTCCTTCTTGACATCAGGGACATTCTTTTTTAATTTAGAAATACAAGCTTGCCCTCTGAAATCAGGTAGTGTGAACCCACAGCATTTTTAGAGATGACCTGATCTTAGATTACTTTTGTCTTTCCAGAGTCTTACCAATTTTGACACAGGTTTATGCATAGCAGCAATTCACACACATAATTAGTCTTTTCTAAACAATTTCAGTCACCAGTCCAGAGTCTCCAGAGATGCCCCAGCTGAGACTCCTGTAAAAATAAAGGAATTTTTATTCTGAATAAACAAATATGCAGAGAAGAAAGTGCATTTCTGTAACACCAAACAAATCTGGATTTAGGAGCAAGCATCTTCTTACACAGTCAACATTGGACTAAATTAACTATACCAAAGGTCGCTAAATGTCATTGTTCTGTAATTTTCAGTTCAGAGGATCAAAGAAATCTGAAGAAATGGTTCAAGTTGAGACACTTGGCAAAATAACGAAGTGAAAGGCTTCCAAAGTTTTCTGGAGGAAAAAAACCCACAGTAATTGGATATAATTCTTAAAATCTTCATTCAGGCATTAATAAATAAAAATGTGTATCCTCTTTAGGATTAATGAAATGTCAGCAGAAGAAAATAGTAGTATAAAAACCAAAGAGCTGTTTTTCAGTTATTCTCAGGGCCTAAGGGGTTTGTTTATTCAAAGATCTGTGACACTGGCAAATAAGCTGTTCCCTTGAAAACACCTTGCCAGGTGTTGTTTTTGGGTTTTTCCCCCCTGTTTAGCTGTTCTTGTATGATAAATTAATTTTGCTAGAAATACACTATCAGTTCAGCAGAGATTTTTTTAACCATTAATCTCCTTACCTGGTGTATTTAGCCCCCTTAGAGCAATTAGAGCAGCCCAAGGAACTGATCTTAAAATGCCCAAGGAGATTTAAAAGACACACTTCAGTGGATTGCTGAAATGTAACTCAGGAGCATAACTGATCAGTTATTTGAGGAATTTCATTGTTGTTGCTGCGCCTTTTTGATCAGCCAGTCCAAAAGGATTTCATTAACATCTCACTAGTACCTCTGACTAAGAAGGAATTTTTGAATAGATTGTGAAAACCTCTAGAAATGAGCTATTTTTAAGTGCTAAGCATATAAATGCAAATTGAGTAGGGACAGCTGTTATTTACATTCTGTGGACACATGATTTCATTCCCTGATAGATACAGGAAGAAAAAAAGCCACTGAAAAACTGAAATGCCCTTAAAGAAATTGGGAAAGTGATGATCTAATAAAAATACATGCAATGAACTACATTGTTGGGTGGTATAAATTGGTAAAGCTTTCTAGGTTTGTCACCTATATAATAACATTATACAGCCCACCTGCTAGGAGGACTTGAAGAGCTGTATGTATTTCTTGGAGAAAGTGGGGAGAGGAATTGAAGGAATGAATATGCTGAAACAAAGGCATATGAACAAATTAATGTTTCAGCCTTTTATGCAATGGCTAACTGATAACCTGACATTTTCAAAAATAGTCTCCAAGAACAAAGCCCCCATTCATAATAAGGTTTTGCTATGGAGTTACGTTAGTTTGAGATTATGTTCTGGAAAAATTATAAAAACTCCTGAAAAATGTAAGCAGCATATTCTAGACCAGTGTACCTGAAAGTAGAGGACTGTACTGGAGGAAAAAGAAAGCACAGTGTGAAAGTTGCATCCTTCATGAGCTCAAGTTTTTTACTGGCCTGGCAGAGGTCCTCCTGTGTGTCCTCCATTTACCTGGAACAGGTCCCTGCTGTCACATGTTCCACTGGAAAGCTCATGCTCCCTCCTGCCACACCTGCATCTATTTGTAACATCACCAGCAAACACCTAGAGCAGAAAGAAATAATATTCTCCTCAGGAAAGGTAAGGCATGTTTAAAAATGTACACAATACATAGCTGCTAATTTAGACCAAACCCACTCAGTCAAATCAGCAATAGGAACCCGGGAGAGGGAATTAAAGGTAGGATTGTTTTGCTGGCCTTTCCTTCTAGAAGGAAAAGGAGTTGACATACCCAACGCAGCTAAAGCTCAAGCACCACAGAGCCACTTGATTCTTAAGAGCCTGGAGAGTGATTTCCTCCAAGATTAGTTCTGTTTGACTTAGGATTGCTTTGTGCCTGCCAGCACACAAAATCTGTCATAACACAGGCAAAGGAAGGCCTGAAATTTCATTCTTGTTCCATTTTAGGTACACTCTTACCTGCTGTTCTGTCTTACGTGAAAGATACGTCTGATGGCTAAATTCATCCTTTCCTTCCTCACCAGAACAAAGGCTGATCTACAGCAGCAGGTTTTGCAGCTTCCTTCTGTCTAGCATCGTGTGGCATGAAATGCTGGGGAAAAAATTCTGCTGTGCCTCAGGCGTCTTTCCAGATCACATTTATTCACAGAGGGATAATTTATCAGAGAAATTAGCTCAGAAGAGACTACTAAAATTAGTGTTAGATTTTGAAATATAGGGCAATCGCACTGAAAGTCAGAAAATATGTCTAGCCCAAACTCACACTTTAGAAAATGCTTTGCATATTTTGTAATAATTATGGATATTATTTTCCCTCCTCTCTTCATTTATAAAGACAGAGAGATAACAACAAACTTAAGCAAATCAGAATTTGGTTACACAGAGCCATCTGTTAATTCTGGTATATGGCAGTAGAGGGCATCTAAGGACTTCAAGTCACATATGGTAAGGGATTAAAATCAGATGGTTGAAGGAGTCATTACTGTCCCCACAGGCTGTTCCCCCCACCTCAGGACAGAATTGCCACCTCATGACCAAACAGCTCACGAGGCTGCTCCTGATCAATGGCAGTTTTGAGCCACACTGAAACTGGGGCTGTTCTTAAAACACCAGTCTGAAAGCTGAAGTTGTTGAGGAGGAGATGCACCAGGTAATTTCTCTTCTCTGCTGTAGGCAGAGCTCTGTCAGAGCCACAGGATGGTTTTGGGTACAGTACAGGGGGGATACTGCTTCAAGCAGCCTGTCCAATTTTATCCACTGCTGTTTGTGCTTTAATTTCCACATACCTGGAAAAACTGCTTACAGGAGGAGCAAGCGATTCTGGGAATGGACAGGCTGTGCCAAGAAAAGGCGAGCTGTGGACCAATGCTCTTTCCTTAACCAGAAAGAGTAGCACTATGTCTGCTTCCTCTCCTGAGCCTAAAAACTGCCAGCCTGTCTGGCCAGTATTTCAGTTTACGTCCTCCCAGTATGCCAGTCAGGTACAGGATGATGCACTGAGCCATCCTGACAAAAAGCAAGCACTAATCCTGACAAACAGAGAGAAGGTAGCTGGCAGCTAGCGCTGTTTTCTTGTCATCTATCCAGGTTTGTATGACATTCCATATCCAGCCTCTCTTTATATTGAACCAGGGAAAGCAGCCATGCCTATCTTGAGCCAAAAGAAGCCAACACATCAGAGGCAGGTTAAGTTCATTACCTGACACTAACACTTAATGTACTAATCTGAAAAATGTATTTCAGCCCAGCAGCAGATTCACATACAACAGGCAAAGTATTTTCAATTAACTTTAAGAAGTTTAAAGTTATATAAATACATTAATAAACATTGATTATCCTGTTATTCAAACTTCTAAGTACAGCAACACGCCAGGCCTTATGCTGAAGTCTATTATAGCCTTAGCCTGAAATTTAAAAGTGGGTCATGCCCAGAAAAAGGTTCTACAACTCATTTAATGATTCACAGTACTTCTAAAATGATATTCATCTGTCTGCTCTCCATGGCAGCACTTTCAATCATAAACACTTAATTGTAGGAATTCATCCTCAAGGCCAAATAGCTCTGGGTGAATTAAACTATCCTTAATGTAAGAACTAGAACAGTGATTTAAAATTAATCTTTTTCTGATGGGAGGCCATTTATTCAGAGACACATAACCCAGTTTCTGCTTCACTTTACTTTTCACTCAAAAAATCTCCCTTTTAGAGATAGCCACTGCATCACCTGTTTTAGTTTTCCTTATTAGCTTCAAAACTGACTCTCTGCCAACAAAAGAACTTTATTACTTATGGATTGGCAAAGCATAGGAGAGCTGCCTTCATGCTGTCTGTCAGGAAAACTTTTTTCACAGACATTACTTGCTCTCTCTTACTTTGAGGCGTAGGACTTGCAACTGGCAGAAAAACATCTCCAGCCTCCTCAAGCATAAAAGGCTTGTTTTTTCTGGCAGCATCTAGGAGGAGAATGCAAGATTTCACAGTGCTTTCAGCTGTGCTATCTCTAGGATTTTTCCAAAAAAAAAAAAAACCCAAGCGTGTATGTTTCTCTAAAAAATCCAAAACTTCAAGGAGCGTGGTTCTGAACATGCGTGTGCATAGGTGTAGTGTGTATATACACCTATATGCTCTTTCTCAGCCAAAAAAGGTAAATAAATATTACAGTCACAGCATTTTATGCTATAATCTGAATATTAAAATCCATATCAAATATTCTCCTAATAGTTGTTTGAAAAGACTGTATTAAAAATGGTCTTTTCTACCAGTCCTTTTTTTCTACCACGTTCATGAGAAGGAAGCATGAATGAGGAGAAAATGCTATCAAAACACATATATTTACAACTCATTCTCCAGTAACTTGCAGCAATATTTAGCTAGTTTCAGTCAGAGTGAAAGTCGATAATTCACAAAATAATATAGTGATAGACCAGAATTCTGCTATTTATAAAGAAGCCTAACATAACAAAGTAAAAAACTTCTGTGTAAATGATCTTTTTTTTTATACTTAGTACCCTGCGTTACCAAGTTCTATTTTCCCTTTACATGCCTGTCCAAATTATTTTTATGTTATTTTTGTTTTACCTTAATTGGTAAATAGTAAATTGGAGAAATTAAGCAAACACTACATTTAATTATTTTCATTGAAGATCCTAAGTGTCTAGGTGACCTCTTACTCAATGCTGTTTAGGCCTTAACTTTTAGATAGTAGATAGCACAGGATGAGATGAGAGATGGACTTAAATGCCACCTCTTTATGGTCAGTTTTGTGCTTGCCAGTGATTATCTGTTTACATTGAACCAAAGGGAATGATCCTTCTGTTTATCAACTGTCTCTGAAAGAAAAGAAGCTGGATGTTATTTCAAAGTATTACTCTCTTGGTGCCATCTTTTGATGTTTACTTTTAAATTACAAGTACTAGTTTCCTTTTAGAGCACCTCTTGATTCATAGAAATTATTCACTGAATTCTTTTGTTATTGTCCTTTACAAGTGTATATTATCAAGAAAGGCAAAGCGTTCACGTGTGAATAGATAAAAATGGCAGGAAATAAAGTGGCAGCTGGTAAAGAGTAAAACTGTTTGGTATAAATCTTAATCTATTTCATCAAAACATTCTGTTCCACAGGCAGCTGTAAAGAGCAGGGTGATCCCATACACTAAAATATTTGTTTCCTCTATGTTTTATCTAGTATGTTTTAGGAGCTCTGTGAAATAATCAAACCTTTCTCCTAACTGCTAAGTGAGAAATCCTCTAAGAGTTCACATTGCAGACCTTATTCATGCTGTGGAGTTACAATTAACTCATTCCAATTTCCTGGAGCTAAAGGCTCAATATTCATATTTCTCTGCTCAAGAACCAGACTGCAATCCCAGGACAGGGAGAAACCGTGGCAGCTGTACATTGTTATTTAGACCAGTTCAGGTAAACAGCTGTCAAAACATGGTCAATTAGTAGATGTATGTGATAAGCAATAGCTGTCCTTTTAACTGAAGGTGATTTTAACTAACCAAATGGTATGCCATGGATAATGTATGTTCTGTGCTGCATCTTTGGGAAGTTAAGGATGAAGAGAGCAAGGAAAGGCCCCTTGTATTCTTCCAGGTAGCTAGGTAAATCTACCCTAATAAATCAGTAAATCTTTTCAGTGAATGGGAGTAAATCTAGCAAAATCAGCTGAGTCAAAAGCACATTACTCCCCCTCTGCTCACATCATATTATATAAATAAATCAGCATACTAGCTCACCAGTAAACTTGGCATACTTTTCAGGAACAAAGTGAAAATCATTTCTAGTAACAGGCGCTTCACAGGACTGTAAAAATGTTGCCTCCTTCCTTGGTCATGAAAGGGATTTTTGCCTAAAGGAAAAATAAAAAATAAATTCACTCATCCTTCCCTGTCTCAAGCATATGCATTTGAAATTGTCAGAAACAATATATTCTGCTTGTGATTGTCAAGAAATGCTAATGCTAATATTTTCACTACTAATATAAAACTTGATTTAAAATATCTACTATATGGATGATATACAGTCAGAACCAACATTTATGAATAGTAGAAAGTATCAGGAAAAAAACAGGGATTGCTAAAGTTTGTGCCTTTCATCTCCAGCTGGATGATATGCCTCTAAAACAGGCTCAGAAGCATTCATATTTGTATACATTCAGCAATATTTGTTCTAGAATTGCTACCCCAAAACACAAAGATTAAAGACAAATAAAGCATTTGGTTTGAATTGTACATGAAAATTTTACATCCCCACTTGTATATAGTTTTTGTACTAGTGACTAGAAGAATTACTGTTTGTTTGTTACATGGCAGATTAAAAAAACCTTGTTTTGTTTACACAATGGAAAGCTAAGTTTTCTGAGTCTGCTCCTTCTTTTCTCTTTCTCCATTTCACATCTTTCTCCTGCTCCGTTCTGATTTTTATAAAGTAAAACTCTTCACGCAGACCAAACCTGTATTAAATATCCCAGTGCCAAAGAAGCTAAAAAGAAGCGTTAAGTAGTTTCATGCACTACATGCAGCCCATAGTCCCAAAAGTAATTTAATTTAGTCACCTTTTCTTACCCTTACAACTATTTCTTTTCTCTCCTGTGACTGTATGGAAGACTCATGCAGACAGAGGAGAAAAAGAGCAACTAACATTGTTGAAAGAAACAGTGAAATACAAATGTACTCCACCAAACCTATAACACTTTCAGATGTCTCAAGGCAGAGAGAAAAGGTAACTGTGAACCAGAGCACTCTTATGAGGTGCCAGTATTATCATTTAAAGATCAATTTGCAGTTTTTAAGTTTGAATTTCATTACTCTTGTAAGTTTATCAGATATTTAGTGCTATTTTTAAGAGACATAAGTACTCATGAAAAAAAATAACAGAACTCTGTTTCGGAAAGATCCTGCTGATATACTGCCTATTTAATTTTTATGCTACCTTTTTCATAACAATATCTGAAGTTTTAAGTAACAAACATTTATTACATTCTTCTGTTCTTGTTTCTCATTCACCACATAAATTGTGGTCTTCCTCCCTCTGCCTTTATAGCAGCCGGCTGTGGTTTTAGAAACAAATTATTACGACTTTAAGTGACGAATAAACAGCAGAAGCAAAGGAAGTCTTGAGATATTATCCACATAAGAATCCCATTAATAAAATAACATAGGAAAAGAGAATTACAGCAAAGCTGTAAAAAAGCAACTTTGCATCTAGACAAGATGTATTCCTTTTCTCCAAGATGCATTAGTGAACTTAAAAGAAATAGCCTTAATTTGAACACTATGGTATTAGAAGAACATATTTTTGAGCAAAAGCTCTCTGCCTACATATATAGAATTATTTTAGTAATAAAAATAGATCTTTATTATTTTTATATTGTTATTCTGAACATAGTGAAGTCAGTGCCATTCTGAAAAAGTAATGGAGGTTTTTTGCAAGATCTCACGTCACAGGTAGTTGAACTGTCAACTAAATTTCAAGGGGCACAAACCTATTCTCTCCCTTTTCCACATCTATCCAATAAAAAAACTTAGTGGGGATTCCACAGCCGTCACTGGAGGCTGCATCTGAGGCTATCTGAACTTCACAGACAAAAACAGGAACAAGAATGACCTTCAAGACCTAAATTGTTTTAAACCATTTCTGAAAATGCTTAAGAAAGCCCGTGTTTGTTCCTCAGACCTCATTTTAAATCTGTGCTGCTGCCAGTGATTAAAACCACCTTTTTTTCATAAACTGAATAAATTAAATTCAAAAGCACCCAGGCATTACAAACAGATGAAATCATACTGACCGATATTTCACTTAATGTAGATTTTTTTTTTCTCAGATTAATTTACTTAGTTACTAAATGCAGAACTTGATTTTTAAGGTAACTGTTAATTCTCATTTCCCCTGGTGCTTAAGAATTATAAGCAATAACTGTTACAAAATCCTTCAGGCTTTTTAATCCTTTCTCAGCCCTTATTTTTATTTCTTTTTAAAGAAACGTTGCATTTCAGACGTTACTGAGGAGTGCGACCCAAGGCAGTGTCTCAGTGTGGGAGCTTTCCCTGTGCAGGGGAGCTTCTCCTGCTCCCTCAGCCAGACAGTCCAACCTAATACATATTCATTTACCCCTCTGATAACAAAGGCTCCCTCCCCCCTCCCGCCCCGATTTTTTAAAGATATTATCTTTTATTATTTTATAGGTTAGGGTTTCTTTTCTGAAATCTTTAAAAAGACACCCCTTAATCCTTCTCCCATCAATTCCCCCTCCCAGACACCCCCGTGCAATTTGCAGGGAGCTCTGACCCTCAGCCAAGGGCCGGGGTGAGACTATTACGGCTACTTTTGCTTTGTTTCCCCTATTTTCTTTCTTTTTTTTTTTTTTTTTCTTTTCCCCCCCCCCCCCCTCTGTGTGTGTCTCTTTCTAAAGTCGGCTCGGGGCCGCCGGGGCAGCGGCGAAAGGTGGCTGGTTACCGAGCAGCACCCACGACGCAATCAACCATCTTTACGCTGAAAAACAGCTTCGTGGTTATTAAAAAAAAAAAAAAAATAATAATTAAAAAAGGGGGGAGGGGGAGGAAATCGGCGCGCGCATCGGAGGGCACTGGCTGTTTGTAGCAACGAGGTATTTAGCGCCGGAGGGTGAAGGGGGGTGGAGACCAGGGTGGGGTGTCCCAGGAGCTTCGGCCGCCGCAAGTCCCTGGCAGAGAGCTCCTGGCACCAGCCCCTGCCGCGCTCCCGGCCCTGCGGGCGGGCCCCGCCGCCGCGCTCAGGTGCCCGCGGCTGCTGGCGCCGGGCAGGCCGGGCGCCCCTCGCCCCTCCGGCCCCGGGACGGGCGGCTGAGCTCCAGCGCTCGCCCGCTTCCCTCAGGGCTCCCCGCACGGCCCCGTCGGCCCGGTCCCTCCGCAGCCCCGGGCACTGACCTGCGCGTCGCCCGCGATTCCGCGGGCGGAGGAGGAGGAGGCGGGGGGGCCGCGGGGCAGCGTTCGGCGACCGCTGCCCCGGCGTGACAGGGGCGGCGGCTCGGTGCGTCGGCCCCGGCTGGCCGCGATCGCGGCGGAGGCGCCGGAGCGGGTCCTGTCACATGATGCGGTTCCTGGAAAGTTCCTGGAAAGCAGCCTTTGTATGTAACCATCCCGGGAGGGGGGAGCGGCGGGGGCAGGATGCCCTCGCCTCGCAATCAAAGGCGAGCAGACCGCCCGCGCCGGGGAGAGGGGGGGGAGCGGAGGGTGTTGTTTCCCCAGGAGCACCATCTTCCTCCGGCAGCTTCTGTCCGCCCCAGCACAGCCCCGACGCTTCTCCCCGGCGGCGGGTGCTGTGTCTCCTCGGCCCCTCGACGCCGCCGGGACCTAGAACAACCTGATCGTCCCACCTCCAGGCGGCGGCAGCGACGGCCCCAGCCCCATCCCGCCGAGCCCGGGTGAGTCCCCTTGTCGTTGCCCCCCTCCGCCCGATGCCCCTCCGCTCTTCGAGAGCCGGCAGCCCGCCGCCCGCTCTCGGTACGGCGCTGCCGACCGCCGGGATGGAGGCACTCCCGGAGCCGGCGGCAGGCTGCTCCGGCGCTCCTCGCCTCGGCCGGGGAACGCCCGGCTGCAGCCAGCCGCCACCGCCTCGCAAGCCTTCCGTCCCCACCGAACTCCCGTGGCGGCGGCGCTTAGCGGCTAGGCGCTCCCGGAGCCTCCCTTTCACAAGGGGTCGCGCCCGGACACCGCTGGCAGAGCTGCTCCCACCTGCGCTAGTCGGCCCGGCGCCCGCAGCCTCTCCGGCGACAGGCGCACCTGCGCCCGGTCACCGAGCCTGCGGCGGGAGCTTCTGCGCGGGGGAAGGAGGGGATGGACTTTGGCGAGGGGTTCCCGGGTGTGTGCCTACATATGTTGGGATAGAAACCCGTCAGAACACCCTATCAGTTGCCACTACAGTCTAATTTGGAAAAGTTTCTGAGCTCTGCTGCGGAATTTCTTAAGGGAGGAACCACTTCAGCATAACCCCTCACCTGGCGGCTGCTGCGCACCCGCAGGCAGAGACTGCCCGGTTCGCAAGCATCGGCGGGGGGCTCCGGGTCTTCCCCGTGAGCCCCGTCCCTTCTCTCCGGCCAAACCGGCTAGGCTCCCCGTCGCTGGTACTGCCCGGCTTTGTGTTGCTCCTGTTGTGGCGGTGCTCCCAGGAGAGAAGAGGCTCGTTTTGTCCCTCCTGTTAGTTTCAGCCAAGAGGAAAGATTCTTTTAAATTTTCTTTCCCCCCTAATATCAGCATTTAATGGAGCGGGAAAAGCATATTTCCTGCCCCGCGCTAATTATAGCGCGTCCTCCACCGCGCTGCCCCTTCCGTTCCCAAACAGCCGGCGAGCCCCCGGAGCCGGCGCTGCCGGCTGTACCCGCCCCGCAGCTCCTCGTTTACCCCGCTGCCCGAGAGGAGGTCTCCCACCCCAGGAGCATGGCCCACGCCGGGCTCCCGTTCCTAGAGGTACGACTTCGCGAATGACCTTACTGGAAGGCGTCGGTGCGTACCGTCCGTACGCCCCGCAGCGTGAAACCCGGGCAGGGCCGGGGCTGGGACCTCTGCCCCGCGCTGCTGGTTACCCCTCCTCTCTCATACCTTTACGGCTCTCCCCCACGACCTCCTCCCCAAAGCCCCAGAGCTGCCGGTCGGGCTCGCCTGCCCCAGCCGAGGGAGAGGGGCATCAGCGGGTTCGCCTTTGCGATAAAGCGAGACCACCTTCTCGGGCCGCCGCCGCCGCCGAGGACAGGCTGGGCGGCGGGGGGGAGGAGATGTCCCTCCCCCGCTTCGCCGGGAGGTGATCTCTCGCCTCGGGTCCCTCCTCTGGATGCTGGGAAGTTCCGAAGCGGGATCGCCAGAAAGACGCTCTGCGTCGGGAGCGCCTCTCGCGGGGCTAGCCGCTAACCACGCTCTCTCTCGGCTCGCAGGCGGCGCCCGGGCTGGGGGCCGGGACCATGCACCCGGTGCGGCGCTGAACCCCGCGGCGGCGAAGCGGAGCCCTCTCCTGCCGGCAGCCCCCGACCTGCCTGCGAGCGGGGCCGCGCCCGCCGCCGCCGCCCATGACCCTGCGCTCCGCCGAGTCCCTGGAGAGCGCGGAGAGCTCCGGGGAGCGCTGGGGGCACCCCGGGGCGGCGGCCCCCGTTGCCGAGGAGTGCCGTGAGGCGGAGCAGCTGGCCGCGGCTATGGAAGAGCTGCGGCGGGCAGGTAAGCCCGGGCGGCCGGGAAGGGGGAAAGCGCCCTGGGCGGCGGCGCCGTCCGGGGGGAGGCAGAGCGGCTTGGCGGGGATTCCCGCCGGGCCGAGAGGGGATCCGGACGGCGGTGCGACGCCTGGCCATCGCCGCCCGGCGCTGAGAGGTCGCGTTCCCGCGGCTGAGAGGGGCGGCTACGACTCCGACCTTCCGCGGACTGCGGCGGCCGAAGCGAAAGCGCCGGCAGCGCCGCGCCCCGGCAGCAGCCCAGGATCTGCGGCCGGGAGAGGGCCGGGCGCTGCCGCCGGCCGGGGCGGCCGAGGCGCCGCATCCCCTCGGCCCCGCGTACCTGCGGTCCCCTCGCCGGAGCGGCGGCGACTCGCCCGGCCCCGCAGGATGCGGGGCTTGGTTGCGGGCGGAGGGAAGGGCTTTTTGTCTTTATCGCAGCCGCGCCAGGACCGCAGCTACCTCGCCGAAGTTCTTTTCTTATCCCTCTGCTTTCGATCGCTAGACAAAGCTCATTTCAACAGCAGCCTACTCCGAGTTACCCAAAGCGGGCGTTCTGCGGGCTGCCAGCCTGTGCCTTGCGGACGCAGCGCTGGCCCCGGCGGGAGAGCAGCAGGGAGCCGCGGGACGCGTCCCTGCTGCTTCAGGGGCGGCCTCGCAGGACTCTGCGGGAAAGTTTGTGCGTGTGTATGCATAGATATGAAAATAAAAAGTGACCTGGAAGGCTCTGTCAAAACGAGTCATTGTAAAACAAATTAATTTAAATAGCAAATAAAAATTTACTGTGCCTGCAGGACTTTGGCTTTCAAACAACAGAAGAAATAGGTGACTAGAAGTATATCAGCCAGAGAGCACCTTTTAAAACAAACAAGAATAAACAAATCCCCTCTTTCTCTCATCTTTTAACAGGATGGTACTGGGGCAACATGACTGTTGCTGAAGCCAAAGAAAGGTTACAGGATGCCCCCGAAGGGACCTTTTTGGTTAGGGATAGTTCGCATTCAGAGTATCTACTGACTATATCCGTAAAAACATCAGCGGGACCGACCAATCTACGTATAGAATATCAAGATGGCAAGTTTAGACTGGACTCCATCACTTGTGTCAGATCTAGACTTAAACAGTTCAACAGCGTTGTGCATTTGATTGAGTACTATGTTCTTATGTGCAAAGATAGAACTGAAACACCTTCAAATGGAACAGTTCATCTTTACTTGAACAAACCCCTCTATACGTCTGCTCCATCTCTGCAACACCGCTGCAGAATAGCTATAAACAAGAGCACAAATCAGATCTGGGAGCTGCCATTACCAACAAGACTAAAAGAGTACTTGAAAGAGTATCAATACCAGGTATAAATACATTTTCTAAATGCCTCTAACACAGAGTAACTTTTGAATGCAATTCTTAAAATCAGCCAAAGAACTGAGTAACCAGTTGTACAACTCGGCATGGAATTCACTATCAAAACAGTGGCAGTTCTGAGGGAAAGGTTTTTATTTCAGATGCTACAAAGGGAGACTTTATGTAAAATAATCCTAGTTTGCATCCTTGGGGGTTTGACAAGGTGGCATGCTATTCTTGCGAGGAGAGAGAAGCCAGGAATCTGTCCAGATTGTGTTGCTTTGTCAATAAAATGCTGCACTAGCTATCAAATGCTTACTGAAGCAGTGGGACCGGGAGAGATTTCATAAGTGGTCAGAGACATAAGAGAGTTTACAAGTATCTCAGTTGTCTGATTCCAAGATGAATTTGGTGCTGGTGTTCATATAATCCTAAAAGCTTAACTAGATCACACTGTGATAATCTTACTAAAGTTATGCAACTAATCAAATCCAGTCAGAAAAATGATCATGCATTCAGTTTTTATTGAACTACTCTCCTGCTTTTCTGTAAGCAAAGGAGTACTGTAAATAATGAGTCTAAAATACTGTTTTTCAAAGTTCTCTGAAAGCTGACCTTAAGAGGAAATGCTACATCTTTCACAGGAACCCAGTATATTGCTGATTATACCAGATTGGTATCCCAGAATCCTTAACATGTTAACATCTTCACAGTGGTGATGTATCCATGCTATTATTATTAAGCCTCTTTTGGTTGAGGCTTTAGAACTATATGCTTCAGACTTGCAGTTTCAATGTCAAGACATGGATTTCAGCAGTTACATGTGTCTTCTACAGTGTAGAATGTTTTCTTCAGGCTGTTTCCCAAAATGTGGGGAAATACGATGTGGATTTTTTTAAGGGGGTTGGTTTACCTTTTTCTTGTTTTTTATTTTCTTTTTCTTTATTTCTTTTTATTTCATTTTATTTTATTTTATTTTATTTTATTTTTTAACTTTCAATTCACCATTGTAGCTATCAGATGATTACTCAATAAAGTAAATCAAAGTGCACAACTATCTCCCAATCTTTGTATGTATGGATTTGCTACTATTCAGGAAAGAGTGTTCTTATATGGGAACTTATATAATTTCCCAGCTAATACTCAGATAAATGCACATGTATCACTGAGGATGAATACCCCTGTTTTGCCTTTGTGGTGCTGCTCAAAAGTATAGCTGGATTACATTCAGATTAGTGGCTTAGAGGCTACCTGCTGAATTCCTGTAGTTGGGTATTAGCATAGGACACTGCTTTTTCTGTTACAGTAGTCTTCCAAACAGGAAGAGAAGACTAAGACCCTCAGTACCCATTCTTCAGCCCAAATGTAAAGTATTTAATAGAAAAAATACACAGGACAAGAATAATAGGAGAGCGGTAAAAAGAGAAGCAAGGACATGGACTCATCCTTAGTCAACAAATTAATAGTTTTAATTATTTCCCTAGCTTATTTGTTAATTAAAGCAAAGAGACCTGTACTTGAACAAGGAGGGTTGTCAAGACTTGCTGTAATCTAGCTTTGTCCAGGCTGAAATAGAAACAACATAAAATAATCCTGTTTTCTTTGTGACTTAACTGCTGTGCTGTACTGTCAGGACATTCTGTCCCTTCTCATAAACTCTGGGGCACCAACCAGCTTATTTATTGCATCTAAACTCCCAGTGTTATACACTCAGTTTTGTCTGTAACATGCTGGCAGAAATGAGTAGCTGAGCCATTGAGAAAAAGAAGGCAGCAGGAACCTGAGGCAGAGTGGATGGCTCCTTGGTATGACATATACTTGATATGTTCTTGTTCTTTCTATGCAAAAGGTGGGTTTCTCCTCCTCCATGGCCTCAATTTTCTGTCCCCATTTTCTACTCAAGCTTTAGTATAGAAATGGGAGGAGTTTTCTTCTGAAAAACAAACCAAAATATTTTGTTATGTAAAATTTTCCCCCTGTCTTGCCAAAATGTATTTGGAAGTTTCTCACATTATATGGTGACCACCCTTTGGTTCCCATGCCCAAAGAGCTTATGTATTCTAGATATGTGTCATAATCACACGGTTCTTGTCATCAGTCTTGCTAAGGTCTGCCACCCTCAGGCTGAAGAGCTTTTCCTGTGAGCAGAGCCTGTCAAAAAACTGTGTTTCTGATGAATCTTTTCTTACAGTTCTTGTCTAGCTCTACCATGTGGTGAGAGAACTGCTGTATGGAATAACTTTCATCACAGTCACAAACACTCTAATCCGCTGGTGTGTTAACATTCTACTACTGTGCCTTTTCTGCCAGGGTGATACGCTTGGGGTCTCAATGGTAAACACATTGTACTAAAGACCTTTAAAATAAATCCCTGGGGGTTTAAAATCATGAATACCAGTGCTGGAGCAAGCCGACTGAGAAGATAAGAGCATTGGGGTGCAATGAGACTGCTGTGTTGCAAATATAAGAAATGATTTATGGCTTGCTGCTGCCAGACCACGTAAGCAGTCACAGGCCAAGTGTACCCCACAGCAGAGCCAAGCTCTGAGGAACAAGAAGGGGCAGATCAGAGAAGCTTGTTGTTTTTTTTAATAACAGTTCTCCAAAGCACAAGGGCAAATGACAGGCTGAGGACAAGGAGTGCTGGCAAAGTGAAAGGTGGTGATTCTCATAACTAATCAAGATTAGTTACTGTGATGTGGAATCAAGTCACCAAACACTGAGCGTATTGACCTAGACTTCATATCATTTGTATTAGTTCCTGTGAGAAAAGCAGGCTCTGTAACTATAGTGTGCTCGAAGCTGTGAACAATATTTTAAACAGACTGGAGGGGGAACTAGTCCTCTTTGTATGAAAGCACAGTTCTTGTCCTCATTAGGATGCCAGTCCTAGGGCTGATGCATTGCACTAGTAAAACTAAACCACAGTATAGCTTGCAGAAAGCTCGGCTTCTTTCTAATGCAGCACAGAGGAATGATTTGTTCTGGTACAAAAATATCTAATGATAGAACATGATTAGATTTCAGCGCTACAAAGCTCTTGCATGTAGACTTTGTGAATTTTCAGACATGAAAATTTTCAGACATGTTGTTCAAACATTTGAAAAAAATTCAGTGCCTAACTTTTTTTTCTTATGGATGTTGTAGCTTGTTTGCAGCACTAGCTTTTAAATTGTGGGCCCTTCAGATTATAAAAATTACTTCTAACTGATATATATACATATATATATAACTGATATATATAATCTTGAATTGCACAGAGTGTGTGGCAAAGCCAGTTTCACAGGTTCAATGCCCATGAGTCAACCAAAAATCATGATAAGGACTTTAATCCTAAGCCTTTTTTTCACACAGCCATGTGTTGGTTTGGTTTTTTTTTTGAGTCTTGGAGTTTCAGATTTTCCAATTTATACCTGGAATGTTAGAAAACCTCTTCACTTTACTTAAAGGAAAACTGAGAATCCTACAATCCTAAAAGGCAATGCTTTAAAAAACAACCAAAATAAATACAATTGCAAGATGAATGATGAAAATTGAATTTGTGACAGTAATTAGTTTAGCACTAAACCTAGCAGAAGTGTAAACTAGGGCAGCATTTTAGTTGTATGGGTATCTTCCTGCTGGTAGTATTATCACCAGAGACAGAAAATGGTTTGAGTACAAGATGAATGGGCAGAGTGGGAATGTAACCAAGCAGCTGCACCCAGTGCATTACAAGTAATTTTATTTTAATCTCATCTTGTCAGTATCGTCCTAATTATATTTTATGTAAACACATTCTAGATAAGCAATATAAAATTATTAGCAAGAAGGAAAAATTGTTCACTAGAATTTGGAGGGTAGAAATTTCTTTTATATCTTACAATAATGAGGAATTTACTTCTATAATGAGACTAAATCTCATCACCTTGAGGAAACAGAATCTACATATGACAGGGAGGACAGAGTTCTGTAGTTGTGAGAATTTCTGTACCTTATCCAACTCTTGTGTTTTAGCAAAATGTTCCTGCAGTTAAATTACCTTGTTAAAGATCGTTTAGAAAACTTTATTTACTTACATGCTCTATTCAAGAGCTTTTTCTTGTATTCCTGATAATAATACTATTGATTTTTCCTTTGGCTATAATCTTAGGCTCTAGCAGAAAGTAAGTCAAGTGATATCAAGGCTTTGCTTCCCTTAAGCCAAAACACATAATAGAAATGGCAAGAGATATCTTTAGACATGGGTATCATGTCTAAGAGTCATTTAAAATAATGTAAAACAAAATTTCTGCCAACTCTGCAGTCATAAAAATAAATCTAAGTATCGTATTTACTGCTAGAGGAAACAATGGCTTGAGGGATTCTAAAAGCTGTATTGCTAATTCTAAATAACAGTAAAAAAAGTTGCTGAAAGAAGAAATTGTATTTTAAAAATATAGAAATTAATGTAACTTTTACTATCTAAACCAAAAAAATTCCAAATAGAGTAAGTAGAAGTTATTTGAGTGGTTAGTTCTGTATACACAAAGGAAGCGGGGATGACAAGCTGTGTTGGTATCTCAGTCTAGCTCCTGAAAACCACTTCTCTATTAGCATTAGATTCAGCAGGTCTCAGTATTTTGCTAAGCCATTAGCATGACTGAAAATGCCTGGAAACAACATTCCACTGACACATAACTTCAGTCACCATAGTCTGAGCTTACTTTACAACAACATGGCAATTTGCCACAGTATTGCTAAAATTGGGTAGTTTCTGTAAATGGCTGAGTATCAGTCAAAGGAACAGGAAGGCAGAGTTGGTTCAGGTGCTGACCATCCCTGGTCCCTATCCCCTGTCTTTGACAGAGAGCACACTACAAGCTAGGTGAAATACAGCTGCCAGGAACAAGATGAGAGAATATTCTGCTTTCTAAGGAGGGAATTACTTGTCTGGCTTTCATGTCTGAGAAGGGACTAGAGGGAAAAAGGACATGGAAAAGCCAGCAACTCCTGTGAGAGGTGGCACTTCTCACAAGGTGTATCAAATAACTAACCACCTGGATGAGTACAATCCTAAAAGGTGTATTAGTAGAGATTAAAGGTCTAGGGGAAGAACTAGTATCAGTACAGTCTGAATCCACACATAGACAAAGTCTAGCTAGACAGCTCAATTTTGAGAAAAAAGAAAATTAGCTTATAGCAAACTCAAGTCTGTCCTGGGGCCAGGGTTACCAAGCAGGAGAGAGATTAACTGTGTTAATCAATCAGGTTATCTACAGGGCTTTAAAGTAGCCAGTGCCTCTGAGAAAGTCTATAGAAATACAAAAATATATCACCATAATTATGCTGATTAATCTGCCTGGTAAATTGTGTATTTTATTCTACTTAGATTCTATTTTTAAAAAGGGATTGCACCTGTGTTTAATTTTGTTTTCTTCCAGAATTTGAGCCTTTATTTTTCCAGGAGCTGAAACACCAAAATAATACCAGTTCTTTCTATGGTATTAAGGAGGAATATAATACTGGAGCAGAAACTATTTATATTAGCATAAGGAATGAGCTGGCATTTAGTAGGAAAAAGTTCAAACAGATATCCAGTGCAAGTTTAGTGGTGAGTTCTGCAAAGAACAAAATACACTGAAAAAATCCAAACAAATTCAATGCTTCTGCCTTGATTTTTCTTCCACTGGAGGGCAAGGTTTATGTAAGTAAATCCTTTTGATTCCAGTCAAACTGTTCTATAATTGATGTTTCATAGCTGAGGTTTGCAACTTGGTGCACTGTTAGTTAACAAATAATAAATGCAGAGGTATGTTAGACATGGGGAAAGATTCAAAGCCCAGTGCAAATTCTTCTTTTGAAGATACTTGGATCAGGCTTGATAACAGGAGTTTTTTGAAAAATAGCTGTAAATCTGGTAGGTGAAAGCACAAAAATCCCATTTCAAAATGCTTTGTTACAATTTCTCTCTTTAGGTTGCAGCTCTGAAATAGGATCTGTTTGGCTGAGTTGCTGTACCCACACTCTGCCTTCAGGGAGACTCTCCAAATTTGAGAGATTGCTCTGGACACCTTATTACACACATTTGCTTTTTTTCTTACCCTGTTTGACACATCTGGAGGGCAGAACAAGTTGTAGACCAACTCTTACTGTTCAAGGGATTTTGAGCTGGGTCATTTTTTGTAGAAAGAGCACTATTAAAGACTGAGCTGCAATTTATCCATCTGTAAAGTGGGCGGTGGACTCAACATTCTGTAATTTCTCAGCATGGGGTGAAAAGTGGCTTATACTTCAAATAACATTGATAGGGACTTAAGCTGCAATGAGGAAAATATCTTTGATTGGCTGCACTGCTAAAAAGAGAGAAGGAAGTAAGTTAGAAAAGTGTGATCCTTGTCTAACTAGATTGCAGTGGATGTGGCACAGCTCCTTCCTGAGCTGAAGTGCTTCAGACTTGTGTTTTCTGCAAGGGAAACTGTTTGTGAGAATCTTTCAGGAAATTCATCTGTTTCTTTTAACTCTCCTGATAGAGGATGCAGTGCCTACTGCAGGATGCTTCACTAGCCTGCAGGCAGGCAGGTTTCATTTTGAAAGCGAACAAAATAGATCAAGTGAATTTTAAATCAAACAGTATTTTTTGTTTGAAAACAGGATGTATGGGAAAGGTATAAGCAGTGGCAAATATCTTGTTAGGCTACCTGTAAAAACATTCCATGAATCATTACTAGCTCCTGAAGTCTACCCTTAAAGTAAGAACCTTGCAAAATGCAG